GCGGATCTGAAAAGATATTACATCAAGCCAAGTATTATATACAGAGCTCATATTTTTACACCCCCCCCCTAGATCAAACTCTTTTGAGAACAACTCGCAATATGAGCATCTTGTGATGCATATGATCATTGCTAGGCAACGGCTTGTTAAACACATTCCCGAAGTTAACGCTCTCAACAGTGGAAGGACATCCGCTGTTGGGCAACGAGTTACTAGGCACGTTTCGCAGGAATGAATAAACATATAATAATAGAGAAATTGTTACAGGTGGTGATCTCTAATTGGTCCTTACCGAAGTTATAAAGGGAGAACACGTGAGAACGCTGAGTTCAGAGTTCAGAAGTTGTAAGAGAGCTGAGACACGAGACGGGGAGTGAAGCAAGTATTAGGAAGTCGTTTATTCTCAGATGTTCTAATTAATTACGATTACTAGTGATTGTAAAAGAAGGCGTCAATAAATCCAATAATCAAATCTAGAACTCATTATTAGTCACGCAATCATAAACACGTGACAATATCTTAAAACATGTAAAGAGACTGATCATTTCAAATTTATTCTTTGTTCAATAAGTTACAGTTAAATTACGCTCTTTTCACGATGGCGCAGAGATTTATCATGTTTTCTTAATTACAATTGTTCTGTATGTGAGAATATTCGTGTTTGTGTGTTCCTACCATAATTACGAACGCCATATGATAAAGTGTTCCGTTTGGGTACGTTAAAATAAAAACAATAGAACAGCGCCGCTAGTGACCTTTCGAATAATTATTTTCATAGTATTAGGAGGGTATGTTGGGAATAAAACTGCTGGGTGAAAACTTTAATAACAAATTAGAAAATAAGAAACAGACTGAAAACAATGCAGTTGACACGTTGCATTAAAAGTTAAATTGGAAATAACGTATAGACGGAATCCAAGAAAACAAAATTCATAAAATAATAATATAACGTATTTGATCAACACGTTGCTAGCCATCGGCTCTGTGAACACGATACGCGCACGCAACAGTAGAGCAAGCTGTGTTTTCCGTGTGTCCATCAGGTGGAGAAGGAGCGGTAACGTCACACAGAAACAGTAGGCGGCCGTCACGGGGAAATAAATATATGCCCTTTTGAGGACGAAGATTATGCGAGAAGGGTACTGTAATGTTAGACTGAAGGGCTAAATGCACTTTTAGCCTCCGTGGAAATAAATATATGCCCCCTTTTAGGACGGAGATTGTGTGAGTAGGCTGTTCTAAGGTTAGATTGAAAGGCTAACTGCACTTTTTAGACTAGGAATTGGCTTCACAACAGATGATTCATACAGTAATGGAAATACAGGTACAAAAAAAAAATAATTGTAATGATAACAGCGAGGAAGAAGAATCTGAATTATTCCGTTAAATATGGATATTAATTTAACTTTCAATGTTCCGTATATAATAATTTGTGTGATGCATTGTAACGGATGCTAATGATGTTGAAATATGTCAGTTTTTGACTGAGAGACTTCTGCAGCAGACTTCTGTGGACACAGAACTGCAAGTGGTAATGTTAATCTGAAGAAATGCAAACATGAGAAGAACAGATTCTGAACTTCATATGTTATTGTCCTCAGATCTACAATTATTGTGTTCAGGCAAGAGAAACGTAGCTTGGTATTGGGACTGTGATCTTTTAAGGAGCACGTCTCCCCCCCTCTCCGTCCCCTTCCTGTCCTCACACCATTACCATGACCACATCTAACAAGTTTTCCTGGCCGTTTGGATGACTATTCATTCATTATTATCCAGAGTGACTGGGCGGGTTCCAGTGGCTGAGATATCTCCATTAGTGGCTGGTGGTAACCTTTCGGCTTACGGTCCGCGGTAGCTACTTTGTGCCATTGACGGCAAGGGTTGGAGAGGTCCAGCTCTTTTATACTTATCAATGCACTTTGTCAGAAACTACGTACACGTTGCTCACAAATATAATATATTGTTTTTATTTTATATTCGAAGAGCCATAAATGGGATAGTCTGAATTCATTTTTTGGCAGGAGCTTTGGGATTTTTCTCTTCATTAATATGTGTGTGATGGTTCTGAGACCTAATCAGTCTGCTGTCTACTGGGGTTTCATGATGGTTTCCCGGGGAAATACAGGCCTGCTACTACTCCATTCCAACTGATGAAGCTACGAATATGTTGATGTTTTACCTTAATTTTATATCTACATCCTCATTATACAGAAACAGACAAAGGGATGTCATCGGCTTATCTTATGTAACCTTTTAAGAACAGTCAAGAGGCTTGCCATTGCAGGGATACTGTTCTTTAGAGAGTGTTCATAAAACGAAATGAATTTAAAGAACGCGTATTTGCTCTTTCTGTAAATATTGAACATCAACAAATTAATTACACCAATAAAACCTGTCCCTCAAACTGTAAATCTGTTACGTACATCATAAGGGGTTTCGGAAGGGGCAGAGATCCAGGCTGTCATGTATCTTGTGCTGGTTATTTAAAATATAAAATGGCGAATGAAGATTTTGCGCAAGCAGGTTCAGAGTATTGTTGTATATAGAACGCGATGTAACCGAGGAATAAAGTCCCTTTCCGAAAAGTAAGGATATAAAACTGTGTATGCTCATCCAAAATGAGTTTTGAACTTAAATATATGTACGAATAACGAGGAAGATTTTAAGTATGTAAATTCGATTGAAAATTTTAATGACGCGAATGGTAGTACTTATGTGAATATTTACAACTTACCTAACAAACACCTGCAATTATATTTAATTACAAGGTTGCGTGGAGTGCAGATGAAATTCTGAAGGAAAAATAAGCTAAGGAACCTTACAAACCAGGAAACGAAAGGAAGGTGTTATCTATATGATGAAATAATATTTATCAAACAAATTCTTACAGGAATCGGTGTCCCTTATTTTATCCGTATTCTCACGTATATGATTAAGTTAATTACTTGCATAACACTAAAAATTATTAATGTTCTAGACAACATTCAAGTTCATATCTCCTGTATCACAAATTTCAGGCATTCAAGTTCATATCTCTGGTATCACAAATTTCAGCACGAAACATTACTATCGCAAAATTTACCAGCATATTCAAAACTGTTACTCACATCCAACATTACTGAGTAGTGTGGCCGTGTGCGTGCAGAAGTGGGTTGTTTCGTCTTTTTTTTTTTTTTGCCAATTTCAATAAATTTCTTGACAAATGCCAGAAGTGGTTCTTATCTACTTTACGTGATGTATGAAGACACTGCACGATCCTCAGCCCTAAGCATGATTACAAATGAATATAGGTGTTTTGGATATTTTATGTGCTGACCAATCGCGTGTCCGGAAAACCTTGGGGATGTAGAATTCCACTGGACAGTCAAAGCATGTTACAGTTCTTCACTTAAAGTCTTTTTCTCAGAAACCTATACTGGAGAGAAATTAAACACCTCTGCGGTTTTCGTCTCATCAAATAGACACAAGGGACTGGCGCAACATGTTGGGGAGGTATTTGATTCGGATCTCGGTTATGACATCGGCTATCTTAACTGATGTTTTAACATGATTTTGTTCAGCTCCTCTCCAGAAAAAATTCTTGATATATGTCGATTAGTTCAGAATCGCTTCCTTCCGAACACTTTCCCATTCATCCGTGTAGCAGCATACTATTTCACAATACACGATCTAGCTACTGACAGCGGCTAAATGTAACCCATCCAAAAACACACCAAAGAGTCCTCATCTCTTCCTTTGTTTTGCATATCTCACAGTATGTTTATTGTTGGTACGCCTTATAGATGCGACAACTTCTCCTGCACACGTGTTATACACATAGTTTTAATGTATTGTCTGTAGGGCCAAACATTTATCTAGGGCACAAGTGATCGGGGTAGATCAACGGTTAAATAAGCAGGGGGGGGGGCTCATTTCAGTATCCCGTTCCCTTTAAGTTAACGTAAAATTTCCAGCATATTTTCATTTGTGAAGTATGGACGCTAAATATAAGACCAAAATACCTGAGAGACGAAAAACTAAACATTTTCTGATGGCAGAACATGTGTGATTTGTAACACCCTATGCTGGATCTCACAATCCACGTCCAGCCCACACGAAAATAAAGAACCTTTCTTTTCACTGTTGGCATAACTCGACAACAGCCACTGTTGCAGTCATGCTCACTCACCTGAACTCTTTTTAGGGTCCACTTCATTTCAGACGTAACCGGTATTTTCCATATCTGCTTCTTCATTTCTCTGTAGTCCTCAGTAAATTAAGATCTATTGGACTTACGTGCCAGAAGTTCTTTTTAATCTCATTACTTGCTCTCCATTCTGTTGAAATCATCAGGTCAACAGGAATGGCTAGTTTAAGTGAACTGAAGTAGAAAGCTGTAGAGACCGCTCATCAAAAATATTTTAGTGATCATTTACGGTACGATTATAATCAATATTTGGATATCAGACGAGGTATAGTATTCTTTATGTAAATACTAATGATAATTCCTCTTTGTTCTGCTCGCCAATGGATTGTAACGGTAAGTAATTTTTGTCGGCTAATTTTTTCTTTTTCTATATGCGAATATCTTATTTAATTGATTCAAATGTTCTGAGTTATCTGATTATGAGTTTACGCATGTGTCTAACGACGTGTGTTGATTTAGTGTATAGGACATTTTGGAATGGAAGCCATTATGCATCTAATTTAATACTAACATTTTCCTTAAATGCATCAACTGAAACTTCAGTGTAACGAACAGAAAATATTCATATATAATAAATATACAGTTCATTTAGTTCATAAAATGTCAGTAATAAAGCAGCCTATTAAGTATGTAACTATTAAGTATTTAAAAAACCTATCATTTTACTTTTTATTTTCTAACTCCTATTTAATATTTAAATTACCGAATTATATTATATGCAGTGAAAATCTTGGTTTCCTTTTGTCACTTTCAGCAAATAAGTTTTCATGGTGAAATAGCTCTTAAACTGTATGTATCTGCCTTAATTTTCTAGATACGAAAAACAGCGTTGGTCTGGTTGGCTGCATTGAAGAGGTTGCCCACAACGCAATAGCCGTGTATTGGAACCCACTTGAAAGCACAGCGAAAGTGAGTACAAGATATTACGCTGTTTCGTTAAACAAACTTTGAATAAAATTTAAGAGGTACGTAGCGGTTATTTTCGTATGACATATAATACTCTTGAGTGTCGACGAAAACTGAAGAAAGTAGATTCGACTAACAGATTTGTAAAAATGAGCAATGTGAAGAAAACAACAGTGCACATACAGAAGATTATGGATCTCTTTGTATCTAAATTTATTAAAACTGATATTGTCATTGAGAGAGATATAAGTTAAAAATTGGAAAGTCTTGCTGTTAAAAGTGCTGATATGTGAATATATTATCGTGATGTGTTCGAACATTTTATCATTGTGTTAGGACTTGTATCAATAAGAATACATATAAAATTTACGTAATTACGTAATTGTGTCTTAAGGAAACCTCTTTAAGAGAATCCAAGGCGAAATGTAATTTTATGATTCGTGTCGATAAATTTATTTTCGAGTTTTAGTTTAGGAAGAGATAATTATTATTCTGAAGAGAGAAGTTAATATGAATAAAACCATTCTCACCATAAGAGTTAGGCTATGTTCTGTCTGTCTGATTACTAACAGACCTTGAACTTCGATAAAGAAGGATTCATACTTTAATTTTAGAAAAATGCTGTCACAAATGTAAATCCGTGTACATTAAGAATTTCCACGTTTTAATTGCGTAAGATGGAAGATATTTGCCATTTAGTCTATAGAATACAGAATATACGCCTACATATAAACTGCGTCCTCACCTGACATGCAACAATTGTATATAAACAGATCTTACAAGAAGATTATGTATATACCGTATTTACGCATGTATAGGCCGCACATTTTTTGCCAAAAATTCAAGAGGAAAACTGGGGTGCGGCTTATATTCGAAATATTCGAAATCACACTTCATTTAAAAAAAATTATATTCATAATTAGTAATACAGGGTGTAATACTCCTGAAATAATATTCCAAGAAAATTATTTTTTCTATGATTTCTGTCTGAAAATTGTGCTGCGGCCTATACATGCACGCGGCCTATAGATGCGTAAATACGGTATATATGATTTTAAACGGTTATGAAAGATGATTGATCGCCTCTGTGGTCTAGTGGTCAGAGTTCCTGCCTAGAGATCCAGAGGTCCGGGTTCGATCCCCGGCTCTGCCAGATTTTCTGAGAAGTAGTGGGTCTGGAACGGGGTCCATTCAGCCTCGTGAGGATAACTGAGAAGTTATTTAAAGAAAATAACAGCTCCGGTATAGAAACCGAGATTAACGACCGTGGGGATACGTTGCGCTTACAACGCGACATTAACTTCGCCGACAAGCGGCGGTGGCTCGGTCGGTATAGTTCGCTTGCGGACTAGAACCACGGAGTTTGTCTTTTATGAAAGATATTTGCCAATTGTTCTGTTCTTGGCCAATGGTGTCTCGTATGCGGTCCGCAGAACACCTACCTAAGCCGAGAGCGACAGAGCTACACCGCCACAGAAATAAAGCACAGTTGGAACCTAGTCGAGACGTCGCAGAAGTCACGTGATACCACAAGCGATAGTAATTGTATGGTGTATAAGTGTGAGTGTCCAATAAAGATTCGCTGAATCCGAGACCCGCGTGAATTTATTTGTCGCGTGACACACCCAACACGTGACAGTATATTACACGTATTCTGAATTCAGGCCAAAGTTTCTCTAACGATGTCCTATATAACAGGAGAATAAACACTTAAGTCTATGAATTGTGATATGTTGTGAAATGATAGTGAAACAGAGGGTAAAGGATATTCTTTTTCTTTGTTTCCAGTATAAACTGGTGCCTCTTTTATCTCAAAAACCGTATAATCTAGCATTCGTTATAGCTGAAAAATCTGCAATGTAAGGACAAAAAACTGGAAGTGAAAAGAGGAAAGTGGGGTCAGATTTATGGCAACAATTAACACTTCTCTCTCACTTTTTTTTTTGCGATGTCTCCTGTTCTTTCTTTATTGCAGCTCCATTCGTATCCCCTGCCTAATTACCCACAATATTCTGCGTGACCATCCTGCCGAACAGTACTTTCAAGGTCTTGAGTACACTAATATACTTCAACTACAGAAACAAGTTCAGGCGTAGTAATAGCCATAAACGGTGCATAAACGCAAAGAAGGGAGACAAATGAAAGCAAGGAGAAGTGTTGAAATGTAGATTTCAATTAGTGAAACGAAATCTTTGTACTTGAACTCCTACGGATGGAAACCTGTTTGTAAATTCATGTTGGTTTTGTCTGAATAACACATTCTTTTTGTCACGTGTTTTGAGCTTGAAGAAGGATTAAGAGAAAACTATATATCAGGGGAAGATCCAATTTATAGGCCTTACTCATAGGCAATCTTGCTTAACCCAAAATCTCATACAATTTTCTTACACTTCAAAGCTGATATGTATGATTTAAGTGTATCAACTTCATTGTTTGTCGTACAGTGTAGTAGCAGGAATTATACCGAATGCATCTCTTAGTGTAATCTAAGCGCTTTTCGACCGAAAAAGCAAAGCTGAAATATTTATATTGTTCTTGAATGAGTGTCCGCTATTCGAATCTCAAGGTCAGTTAGGTGTTCTCCGTTTTTCTCATTACAACTGGGCAATTTATAAAAGGTGTATTTAACGAACTGACAAAAATTATGTAGAATAAGTACGGGATTAATAGGAATATTGCCTTAAAATCCCAATAACATCTCACAATAGACGTCATTCCCCACTGCGGGGGCAAAGCGGCAGGGGCGTGAAGCTGACCCCTTACCTCCAATTAGTGCTAAGGTCAAGAAAATATGGATCTGTGCATCCACTTCCTCATACGCCTTCATGGAGTAGTGCTTAATTAGTTAAACACAGGGATAATTTTACCTTTTTACCTTGCCTCCATCCCTTGAATTTCAGTTCTCTTAAATAATTTTCTTCTAGTCATTTCAGTGGAGGTTTCCCACATTTCTTCTACCTTCCATCTTACAGCGAAATTTTTTCCTGGTTACGTCCTACTGTAACTTATCCACCTCACAATCATAATTGTATCCGACGTAAATTGGCATCAGTTAACGTGACACCTGCTCTGAAGCGCCAGTGGCGAAGGTTTACTCAGATGAAAGTGGCTGTGTGGCGGGTTTTCCCCGAAAACTTCGGGTTTCTCCCCCAAGTGTTATTCTACCCACTGTTCCACATTCAGTAACCATCCTATCAGCAACGCTATATAGTTTCGATGCTGCCAGAGTCGTTAAATAACCACACAGAAACCCAGAAATAGTAAAGGAATATCCATGGTTCCCGCCGGGGAATGAGTTTCCTTATAAAGAGGGAACCAATTCTCATTCATGCCCTATTCCAAATTAAAATACTTCTTCCAGTAGAACATTTTGTGCCGTCTCTTGGACGTGATTTGTGTAGTCGGTTGTAATTTCACAGGGGCGTAAATATTCTGTGACACTTCATGCTCGCTAGGGGAAAGCTTTATATTGTAGTCGCGATAAGAGTGGAGCGTCTAGCTCTCGTCCTTTGTAGTAGGTTGGATAATACACTTGAGCTTGTATCTAGACTGCATATTCATACGTCACGGAGCTACGGCTATAGCTTAGTTTACGCATATAAAATAAAGAAAGTTTAATGTATGATACTTATATCATTATGAATTAAAAACCTCTCAAGCGGTATCTTTGGGTATAACCTGCATTCTAAGAATATAGGAAAAAGAATTTGTATTAATGTATACTTAAAATGTAATATTCAATAGAAGTAATACACTCCTTTTGTGTCATACCGTTTTCTTACTGTAGTCATAGAAAAAGTCAGTAAGATTGACCCCAATAATTTTTTTTAATTCGCTTATTGGGGGGTGGAGTCCAACTGGGTCCACTCAGCACTGCTGCCACTGATTGGCCTATTGTAGCCTGCCCCGGGTGATTATGATGATGGAGAATTTGGTGGAATGAAGATTGACAGGGGAAACCAAAGTTCTCGGAGAAACCCCGCCCCAGCGCCACTTTGTCCCACCACAAATCTCACTTGACCGAACCCGGGTCGCCGCTGTGGGAAGCCAGCGACTAACCACTTGATCTATGGCGCGGCCTTTCGCCCCAGTATCAGGACATTATTAATACAGTTTGCTGTATCTACATTAAAAATATAAATATGCTTTCGCAATACTTTTTACGAGTTCGACAGCTAAGTAGTATATTTCAATATTAATTTTCGTTGATAATTAAAATAACTCCTCCACAAAACTTCAAGTCAGTGGCCTGGGTGAGGCGGATACGAAATTCTTTTCATTCGTCGGACCACACAAATGCAACAATATGCGTGCAGTGGAAGAATGGCATATGCAAAAGCGAATATAATGCCTGAATTACTAATAAGATATCCTTGTGACATTCCTACTTAATGCCGTGAAGAAAGGAAATATATTGTTAGCAGTAACAAATGGTAATCTGTAATTGCATAGAGCCGGATGAACTCGGGCAGTATAGTAAGTAGCTTATGGACTGGACTACCGCGGAATTTGGGTTCAATTCCCGGCGGGGACAGAGATGTTTCTTTATAACGCTGTGTCCAGACTGGCTCAGGAGCCCATGAGGCTCCTAGACCTACACCTAGGCCTAGAGCTGAAAACATCTCTCGATCTAGTGCCGAGGTTAGGAATTAGGGACAACCCCCAAGTCTTCATGGTACGGTGCCTAACTGTGGCGACTTCACGTGTATCAGAGATTTGAGATTCTCACTTTAGTAACTATGCAGATTAATGTCTTCCCGTATGTGACGACGTGTAGTTTGATAGATGGTTACCAACATTTGCAGGAACCATCGGTCTGAAGCCGTCTTTAATATACCCCCATGATGGAGGTAACAGGTTCTACTGAAAGGTATAAAAATATCTACCAGACTACACGGCGTTACATATCTTACCTGAAGCTTACTCTTGTAATTATAACAGCCAATTCTCTTCTTGTGTTAAATGTTTTATTTAATCTGTTATATGTTCCATTGAAACATTCC